CTTATTTATAAACTTTTAAATTGTTTCTTTACAATTTACTTAACATTTTCCAAATAGTTCTGCCATAAACCCAGAAAATATTAGATATGCTATTTAGTTCCTGTCTTTTTTTTTTAAATTTGAGTTAAACTTCAAAACTATACAATAAGTGACAATATCACAACAACAACATATACTATTCAAAATGAAGCTGGTTTTGTAGCCTACTTGGCAGACAATTAAAGAGCTGATGAAAGTAAGTCTGCTGTATTAACTAGCTTGTACCATACATGAACTAGGCTTGAGCAATATGAGATGCAATTCCTTTATTACAAACCTTAATGAATCCAAGGAATGCAATAGACGTTTACAAACCACATTACTTAGTCACATACTGTTAATTCGGCTCTATTTTGAAAAAAAACTATTCGATAATGCTCTGCTATAATACGCAGATTGTTAGAAAGGACAGAATAAAATTCTGATAATGAAATTCTAATTTCTCCTTAGTTAAAGCACTTTGTAAAAAGTTATTACATTTCATATTTACAAATATTCTTCAATACAATTAATAATATTAAAATTACAATATTATATCAACTTTGTGCAAGTATCTTTTAAAACTGGAAAAACATTTCGAATCAATAAATCACCAGCTTATCGTATAATTTATTTTACTATTTTTTCAGTATTAAAAGCTTACAGAATCGTATGAATGGCATCAGAATATCTCTATTTGATTATCGATAATTACAAATCAGATATCACTTTGTTATTCATTTTCATCATGATGAATGACATTGTATGCTGCTTAGATTGATTTTATTTAATTCTTATGACATTTACGCATATGTATATGTGTCTATCTACATGTGTGTATTTATTAAAATGAGATAAGTTGAAACGACCTACTAAAATATCTTTTCACCAAACTAATCAATAAAAAATATCTTATATATGAAAGAACAAAAGTAGATCATTTTGTATACTACTTATTGTTAATAATAGTTTAAGTTTATTCACATCCTTATTTCGTTTTTTTCGTGCTCTTCAGCTATTGATTACATTGTTTATAGATCTTTTTATGTGCTTTGTTTTTTTCGTTTTGGTTTTTTAACAAATCTAATAAACTTTTGATCATCTCTTACACTCAGATAGAAATATTCATTTTTTTTAAAAAACAAATATATTTTACTTAAGTAGCAAGACCTAAACACATGAACTTAAAATTTAAACAAAAAGACAGTGGTCCTAGTCAACGTTTTGCAAAGAATTTAAGTAGATCAATTTTGACTATTAACAGTAATTTATGAATATAATTCACTCGGAAATTAATAAAACAGAAATAAGATATAAATATGGATATTTTAATTTTGATAGCTTAATCAACTTAATAATTGAAGTATTAGCAGAAGGTTTTACTTATTAAAATTTTTTACATCTAAAGCATAGTTTTTGTTTCCTCATTCCAGCATTCATAATTATATCCCAGTGATTTTGGTGTTTCATGTACACAAGTGTCCATGAACACAGGAAACCAATATACTTCATATTATCTCTTCAGAATATAATCTGTTATGGACAATCTTGTCTGAATTAAAAATCTGATTAACTCTACTCCTGTATATCTAAATCAGTTTACTTTAGGAAAAAAATCGTTTACCATCTTGACGGTTGAATTCAACAGGCAACGTTTCCCGTTGAATCAAAAACTATTTCTAACTCACCAACAGAGTATTTCTAAAGCTACATTTTATGATATAAGGTCAACTTTTCGTAATGCTAAATAGCAGTTTTTAGTTAACAATCAAGTCAAATATTTTAGGGAATGTTAGCCTTTCAATCACTTCTAATAATTAAATTGGACTGGTTCCAGTTTGATAATGTTTCCCTTATTTTTTGATGATGCTAGTTAAACAGAAGGTTCGATATGATTATGATTTAATCTAGAAAGTATCATTTTCTTCAATATTCCAGATCTATACTATTTTTAATACACACCATAGTTAACCGACAAGTCAACAATAGTGATTCAAATGTGAAATACGGAGGACTGATGGTGTAATTCTACTGACCAGATCTTTTATACTACAAGAAAAAGGATTTAGTTTTTTGACACTATTCACAATTTAGTTAGCTCGGTATTTATTTTTTTTATAAATTTAGTTACGATACAATGGGACATCAATAATTTTAAATGTTCAATAACAAGACTGTCATATGAGAATATTAATCGCTCAAAAAATATGATATTATGTTATTTTCACATGATCAATCCAAAGAGCATTTCTACTTTTTATCCTTTTAAATAACTAAAGTCAAAATCAAGGTCTATTGTTAACAAAAAAAGATGACACTTTTTAGAGGAAAAAAACTGAAATTTTAGTTTAATAATGATATTCCTATTGATTAAATGATTTAAAATTTACTTAATACAATAAGCTTTGGATATTTCACATGTTACCAAGTCATTGACATACTATTAAAAGATAGTTAAACTGGAATCCAGACTCTCATATGAATATGGATTGAATACTATGGCAACATTTGGTTTCACATTAAACTAACATACGCTGTTTGCATTGGATAAGCAAACCCCCATATTTAAGTAGGTTTGGGATACTAGGGTGTTTATGTGCGTCACATGATGAAAAATAAATGCATTCTGATCCCTTATTAACAGGAAGGTCTAATTTCTTCAACTCGAAATCTATTAAATTATAAAAGCTTGTTATCTGCTTAGTTAAGAACTTAGCTGACGATAGCTCACAGAACGGTTCAAGACTGAAATTCAGTAGTTTTTTCGATGTAGAACCTGTGTTCAAGTGAGCTCATCTGATGATAGGAACAACCTTGGAATCCACCTGACATTATCATTTGACTAGTCAATAACAAGTAACATCGTTTTATGACCATTCACATTTGAATCAAGCTAAATATTTGTTATGTAATAACCAGTAACTTATTTTGAGAGGTGATTACTGAAGTTCTAGTCAG